ACATGGCAGGGAGGGGGTGTGTGTGTAAGGGGACAGATTGTCACTCTCCTCACCCACCTCCTTAGACAAACAACACACTGGGTGTCCATTGTATCTCTCTTCAATACTCAGCCTAGGGGAAAAAAATAATAGTAATCAGCCTAGGTCCCCCTTCACAATAAGAGTGGCCGTCCTGACACATCTATTCTCAGCCTATAATGTTGGAGACTGGACTCTGACCCCTTCCCCTCCTGCAGAGCCCTACTTTGTCCATGCGGTGGAGTGGGGCAACCATGTCTACTTCTTCTTCCGGGAGATCGCCATGGAGTTTAACTACCTGGAGAAGGTAAGAACATCCCCCCACACACACACCTACACCCCCCCAGAGGCTCATGCTGTGTGGCCCACATAACTGGCAGAGTGGCGTGGCTGTGGGAAGCAGAAGAGGATCCCTGGAGATCCACCGGGAGTCAGAAGGTGCTGCCCTTCACCTCTGGTTCTCAGCACCCTGCCCTCTGTCCAGGACCTGGCCTCCAAAGCTGGAAGACATTTAGGGAGCCACTTTGACATACACACCCCTGGGCAAGGGACATAGGTCTGAAGTCAGGTGTGCTCCCAGGGCCCATCTGTGGCTGTTCACATGTTCACTCGTCCATCTGCCTCCAAGCCTTCATCTGTCTGTTCGTCCACCATTGAGCCATGAATGTGTGCTTCAACCCGCTCTGGTGCCATTGATACATCCACCAAGCTTCCCGCCCACCAACTCGGCATCCTCCCTCCCTCCACCCACTCATCCTTTTACCCATGCCCCTGCTTCCCCATCTCTCACTCCTCCACCTACCTGCCCAGTCTACGTTCTATCCATCCATCCAATAACCCACCCATCCATCTATCCAATAATCTGTCCTTCTATCCACCCACTCATCCATGCACCCCCATAACCAACCATCTGCCTACCTACCCTCCCACCTAACCATCCATCTATCCTGCTCATCTGCTCTGCCATACACCCATGTCCTCCACCCATTCACCTACTCACCCAGTAAACCAACCAACCAACCATCCATCCATCCAACCATCCATCCATCCATCCATCCATCCATCCATCCAACCATTAATCCACCATCCACTCACCCAATCAATATCTACATACTCTCCCACATCCATCCATCCATCCATCCATCCATCCATCTATCTACCCACTTATCCATCCATCCTCCCATCTGTCCACCACTTAGCCATCCACTATTCATTAATCCCTCCCTCTCTCTACTTATCTGCCGCTCAATCTATCCGTCCGTCTCCCCCCTTATTTAACTGTCCACTCACCCAAGCAGCTAGACAGGAGATTCTGAGCCCAGACTCTGCCATTTGCACCAGTGTGACCTCAGGCCAGCCACTTCCCTTTCTCTGTGCCTCAGTTTGCCATCTGTACAAGGGGACTGTCCACAGGCCCTCCCCAAGAGATTTCGGGTGGGAGCTGTAAGAGATGGGGACAGTGACGTTCCTGTGGCATAGTTTAGTGGGCTCCGTTACGATGGCCCCTGTAGCTGCTGTCACGGTGGCCACCCCCACTGTTTCAGGAACAGTGTCAGGCAGGGCACCTCATTGAGCTGGGGTCAGACTCCTCCCCACCCCCCTCACTCCCCGTGGGTCTGACTCGGGCCACGCCTGTCCACTCTCATGCCAGGTGGTGGTGTCACGCGTGGCCCGGGTGTGCAAGAATGATGTGGGGGGCTCCCCTCGGGTGCTGGAGAAGCAGTGGACATCCTTCCTGAAGGCGCGCCTCAATTGCTCGGTGCCGGGGGACTCCCACTTCTACTTCAACGTGCTCCAGGCCGTCACAGGCGTGGTCAGTCTGGGGGGCCGGCCTGTGGTCCTCGCCGTCTTCTCCACCCCCAGCAACAGGTCAGCGGGTGTGCTGGGAGCAGCGGGGGGTGGGGGGAAAGGATCATGGGGTCGTAAGGGTCCACATTCTCTTCGTCCCTTTTAAAATGTGTGGTTGTTGAGAATGTATACAGCCGAGTGGGCGCCTCTTCAGCAGCATCTCTGTGTGCAATTCTGGGATGCTGATTTCTTTCCTGTCAGGCCCTGCCCTCCCCTGCGCGATGCGCCTCCCTGGTGAGCTCACACCCCCTGCCCCCCCCCCAAGCTTCCCGTCTAACCCTTGGAGTTGCGGTTGTCCGTCTGACCTCGTGGACATATGTTTGTTCTTTATTAGTTAACCATTCCCGATTCTCACTGCCATCAAGTGGGTTCAGACGCACAGCCACGCTGTCAGGCTTGTGAGTTTCCAAGGCAGTCACTGTTTGTGGGAGTAGAAAGTCCCGCCTTTCTCCTGGGGTTTCAAACGGCTGGCCTTTCCGATCATTGCCCGACATGTAACCACGAGGCCACCTTAAACTCGTGTTTGGCTGAAAGAGTTTAGGGGATCATTTGGGTTGACGGAGGATCTCTGGCCAGTTTGTCAGCGCTTCCTCCAGCCTTCTGGACCTCTGGCCTGCAGGGGAGTTTGAGGGTTTGTTCTGCAGAAACCCCACCACCACCACCCTCCCCCCATTTTGATTGGGACTCTTCTGCAGAACCACTGATCTAGGGGTCCCGGCCTCGTGGCCGGGCACCATCCAGTTCTTCTGGTCTTGTGGCAAAGAAGGCCGTGGTTCACAGGAGTGTCTAGAGCAGTGGTCCTCAGCTTCCTAATGCCACTGCCCTGTAATACAGTTCCTCATGTGGTGGTGACCTCCCCCAACCATAAAATTGCTCTCGTTGCTACTTCTTAACTGTAATTTTGCTACTGTTATGAATCGGGTGACCCCTGTGGTCCTGACCCACAGTTGAGAACCGCTGGTCTAAAGCCTCACATTCCATGTTCTCTTCCGATTCCCCGACTCTCCTCCTGTCATGAACTATCCTCAGGTCCTGGGCTGCAAGACGGGGACCCTGAGAGGAGGCCCCAGCCCTGGACAGGGGTGGGACAAAGGCAGACCTTGATATCCCTCTAAGGCCCTTGGATCAGACTGGAGGGGAGTGGAGATGGAGGAGGGGACACTGGGACTAGGCTCCAATGGGTGTGGGATGGGGAAAAGGGGAGAGTGTCCCAAGCTTGGGGAGCCACATTTGGAGGAGCCGTGGGCTGGAGTGAGCTGAGTCACAGCACAGAGTCGGGGTGGCTGCAGAGAGGAGTGATGAGGCCAGGGAGCTGATGAACCAGATCAAGGAAGGCCTGGGAGGGTGTGTGGGGGGGGGTGCAAGGGGGCACCCGGACTTTATTCAGAGAGCCCTGGGGAGTCATGGAAGAGTACAGAGCAGGGGCAGACCAAGGGCAGAAGTGTTTTGAGCAAGCCCCCTGAGAAATTGGTTGAAATGGGCAAGGTGCCAGCCGGAGGGCTCAGGGGTGGTTGTGGAGGACCCAAATTTGGCTCCATGTAGGAAATCTGCAGGGGGGGCGTGACTGGATTTAGGGGCAGCGTGACAGGGGGAGACAAGATGGCCGGCCTTCAGACCAAGGGTCCTGCATACATCGGGCCTGAGCAGTACCCCCCACCACCCCGTGGCTCACCACACCCTCTTCTCGGACCCCCACCCCCAGCATCCCAGGCTCGGCTGTCTGCGCCTTTGACATGACTCAGATGGCTGCCGTGTTCGAAGGCCGCTTCCGGGAGCAGAAGTCCCCCGAGTCCATCTGGACAGCTGTGCCTGAAGATCAAGTGCCGAGGCCCCGGTGAGGACCCCTCAGCCCTCCTTAGCTCCTAGGCCAGGTCCCCAGAACCCAGGTCTCTGTTCCCAAGCCGGGACGTGCCCATTACATAGGGCAAACGGAGCCCTTAGCCAGGACCGCGGCCCCCCTGCTCCTGAAGTGTACTTGGGGAGAGCTGGGCGTGGCTGCTGTACTAAGACCCAGAGACCGCCCTGATGGCCCCCTTGTTCCCCAGGCCCGGGTGCTGTGCCGCTCCTGGCACCCCGTACAACGCTTCCAGCGCCTTTCCCGACGAGCTCCTCAACTTCGTCAAGACGCACCCCCTCATGGATGAGGCCGTGCCCTCGCTGGGCCAGGCTCCCTGGATCGTGCGCACGCTGATGCGGTCAGTGCCCGGGCTCCGCCTGCTCGGGGCGGGGCCCAGAGGGGTGGGCGGGGCCCAGAGGGGTGTGGCACAGGGCGTGGCTGAGGAGCCCCACCAGCGAAGCAAACAGGCGGGTTTGCAGGGTGGGATGCACCCAGAGAGATGAAGACAGAGACAGTGGGGGAGGGGAGTGGGGGGGTGCGGACAAATAGCCTCAAGACGCAAACATGTCATAGAGCTGAGAGATAGACAGTCATACCAGGAGAGAAAATAAGGGGGGGGGGGGACATGGGGACACACACACACACACACACACACACACACACACACAGACAGCAAGCAGCCACAGCGAAGTTGAAGACCAAGTAGCAATAGCACAGGACAGACAGCCCCAGGCAGAGAGACATGTGGGAGAGACCGTGAGAGTCCGAGAGACACCCAGAGAAATCAGAGACCCCCACTGGGTCTGGTCTGCTCTAGGCTGTGCACGAAGGCAGGGCTTGGACGGTCCCCTGCACCTGGTGTGTGATCACATGCATATCTGTTGCTGTTGCACGTGTCGGCCCACACTGCTGCCCACGCAACCCGGCCTGGGGACCACTGGGGACTCTGGGGCTAGCCTGACCCTGTCCTCACCCTGCGGCCCCCAGGCACCAGCTGACTCGGGTGGCTGTGGACGTGAGTGCCGGCCCCTGGGGCAACCAGACCGTGGTCTTCTTGGGATCGGAGGCAGGCACTGTCCTCAAGTTCCTGGTCCAGCCCAACACCAGCAGCCCGGAGACCACCGGCCCGAGTGTATTCCTGGAAGAATTTGAGACCTACCGGCCCGACAGGTGGGACTGGGCAGCAGGAGGCAGGTTGGAAGATGGGGACCCTCCCACCCCCAGACTCACCACCCTGTCCCCCCCAGGTGTGGACAGCCGGGTGAAGGCAAGATGGGGAGGCGGCTACTGAGCTTGGAGCTGGACGCAGCCTCGGGCGGCCTGCTGGCTGCCTTCCCACGTTGTGTGGTTAGGGTGCCGGTGGCCCGTTGCCAACAGCACTCAGGCTGCATGAAGTAAGTGTCCCTAGCTCCAGCTGTGGGGTGGGCAGGATGAGCGGTGGGGGGTGACAGCATTGTGTCCTGTCAGCCAGCAGTCCAGCAGTCGGGCGAGTTGGAGGAACAGCAAAGTGACCCCTGTGGTTGGGGAGTGAATGAGGGTGGCAGGAAAGGAGGGGAGGACAGGGCGTGCAGGACCCTGTGGAGTTCCGAGAGCACTGCTTTTTTACCCACAGGAGGTGGGCACCCTGGAGGGCAGTGAGCAGAGGAGGGTCAGCCCTGACTCAGGTGCTCACGGTCTCCCTCTGGCGGCTTCTCAGAGAATGGACTCGGTATGCTGCCCGCAATCCTGGGCAGCTGGCCTTGTTTCCTGTCTCCAAAACCCGAGGGAAGGGCAGATGCATAAACAGCCCCGGTCCCTCCTGCGTTTAGTCAGTGTGAGCCTGGGGCACAGGAACCCTTGTCCCCCCTCTCCACCTGTTCTCACTGCAATGATGACCTGCCTGGGGTCTGCTGGAAGTTTGTGGAATTGCCACGCCTATGCCCTCCCAGCTGCTCAGAGTAAACCTTCCTGAGCCTCAGTGTTCTTGTCTGTGAAATGAGCCCGGGGAGCCTGCACCAGGGAGATTTGTCATGTGGACTGAGGCCATTGGTATTGAGGAAGGGGCGAGGGGCAGGGGGGTCCAGTGCTCCTGGGCGCTGTTAGGGACCCTTATTACCTAACCACAACCCCCTCTCCAGGAACTGCATTGGCAGCCAGGACCCCTACTGTGGGTGGGCCCCGGATGGCTCCTGCTTCTTCCTCAGCCCCGGCACCAGGTACTGGGGAGGCAAGGGGTGTGTCTACCCCCTAACCTGGAACTCTGCCCTCTCCCGGGACCCCAAGGCCTGCAGGGTGGGGTGGGGTGGGGCCTCTCTGCTGACTATGACCCCTCTCACGGGACCCCTCTCACAGGAGGGGTGAGAGGAATCTCTAACTATGGCCCCTTCCCTTCAATAGAGCCACCTTTGAGCAGGATGTCACAGGGGCCAGCACCTCAGGCTTAGGAGACTGTACAGGTAAGGACACCTGGCTGGACCCCACTCCTGCTCTGGGGGGTGGGGGGACTGGGAACCTTTGGGGGTGGGATTGGCCTCCATCTGGACTCTGTTGTGGGCGGAGTGGTCCTACTTCAGGGTAAGGACATATGAAGGCAGACTGACCTTAGGCCAGCAGACAGACAGACCCCAGGGGTAGGGCGATACCACAGACAGATAGACGTCTGTGAAGAGGAAACAGGCAAGTGTCTGCGCCTAACTGCCCTCTCCGACCAGGGCTGCTGCGGGCCAGCCTCTCGGAGGAGCGCGCTGGGCTGGTATCAGTGAACCTGCTGGTGACCTCATCGGTGGCGGCCTTTGTGGTGGGCGCCGTGGTGTCTGGTTTCAGCGTGGGCTGGTTCGTGGGCCTCCGGGAGCGGCGCGAGCTGGCCCGGCGCAAGGACAAGGAGGCCATCCTGGCGCACGGCGGCGGCGAGGCCGTGCTGAGCGTCAGTCGGCTGGGCGAGCGCCGGGGTCCCGGCGCGGGAGGCCGCGGCGCGGGGGTCGCCGGGGGACCCCCGGAGGCCCTGCTGGCCCCGCTGATGCAGAACGGCTGGGCCAAGGCCACACTGCTGCAGGGCGGGCCCCACGACCTCGACTCGGGGCTGCTGCCCACGCCCGAGCAGACGCCGCTGCCCCAGAAGCGCCTGCCCACGCCGCACCCGCACCCGCACGCCCTGGCGCCCCGCGCCTGGGACCACGGCCACGCCCTGCTGTCCGCCTCCACGTCCACCTCGTCCTCGCTGCTGCTGCTGGCGCCGGTGCGGGGGGCCCCGGAGCAGCCCCCCGGCGGCGAGCCCGGCCCCGAGCCCCGCCTGTACGCCGCCCGGCCCGGCCGCGGCTCCCACGGCGACTTCCCGCCCACGCCCCACGCCAGCCCGGACCGCCGGCGCGTGGTGTCGGCACCCACGGGCCCCTTGGACCCAAGCTCAGTCGCCGACGGCCTTCCTCGGCCCTGGAGCCCCCCGCCGACGGGCAGCCTCCGGAGGCCGGGCCCCCACGGGCACCCGGCCGCCGCCCTGCGCCGCACGCACACTTTCAACAGCGGCGAGGGCCGGCCCAGCGACCGTTCCCGGGGACGCCACCCGCGGCCGAGCACGGACCTGGGGCACCTCCTCCCCTATGGAGGCACAGACAGGACTGCGCCCCCCGTGCCCTAGGGCGCAGCCCGGGACGCCTCGGCGGTACCAGCCGCAGGACCCAGGCGCGAGACAGCGGAAGGCCCGGTCCGGCTCCACGTGGGTGCTCGCGAGCCCGCCCAGGGCGCGCCCTCTGCCACCCGAAGCACAAGGAGCTCCGCCCCTCTCCCGTTCACCCCCGGTCGCCGGAGACCCAGGCAGAGGGGTGGGGGGGGGGGCAGGCGGGGCTGGAGGCATTTGCTCAGACTGAGGTTGACCTGATGCGTAGGTTTTCTTTTCTTTTTACAAGTTTGGTTTCTTTTGGCGTTTTCTAACCAATTGCACAACTCCGTTCTGGGGGTGGGGGGGTGCGAGACTGCGGTAGGAGGTGGGTTCCTGGGGGTAGGGGCCAGAAACGCCCACCCAAGCGGCCTCCCCCCCTAAGGTCCCTCCTATGCCCAGGGCCCCCTCCCCCCGTGTGTGTGGGTGTGTTTGCGTGTGAGCATGCTGTGCCCGTGTGCAAAGGGCCGGGGAGGGAGGGGAGGCGTGTGTGGACGCGTGCCCAGGAGGCAGCTGCTGGCGTGTGCAAGGAGGTGGGGCCACGTGTGTAGTGTGTGTGTGTGCGTATGTGTGTGTCCGTCCGCGTGTGAGCATGGCGGCAGCCCCAGTGGCCTGGGCGTTGGCTGAGCCGATGCAGGGCCTTCCAGAAGGCCAGGGGCCTTCGGGGACCTCCAGGGTGCCGGTCGGGAGATTGTCACCCAGCGCTGTGGAAGAAATGGAGGCATATAAAGGGTTCCGGTTGGGGGATGGGCCGGGCCTGCCCAGAATTTAATGTTGGCCCAGTTGTCTAAAGGGCTTGGAGGTCTGGTGGGGGGGGGGCATGGAGGCGGGCAGGTGCCCCTGTAAATATGGCCCCAGGGTGGTCAGAGGTTCCGAGCCACCCATCCCTTTGTGACCTCCCCCTCTTGACCTCCAGCTGACCATGCATGCCACGTGGCCAGCCAAGTTCTGGACCCGCTCTGGAGTTTGCGTCCCCCATGCCCCTCCCCATCAATAAAACTCTGTTTACAACTACCGGCCCCCCATGCCTCTGGCTCTGCTCTCTGTGCCCTGGAATGAGGACCTGCACATTGGTGTGACCTGGCCATTAGGAAACCCATGGATAGGTCACAAGAGAATACATTTATTGTCATGGCCAAACACAAGTCTGGGGTGTGATGTGGGTCAAAGTAGCACAACACACATGAATGTTTTAAATCCAAGAAGAAAGTACCATAGAGAGAAAACTGTCAGGCACAGCCAACACAGCTTTGAGAGAAAAATTCAGAGCCTCCAAATGCATTTTTAGGAAATGAGAAAAACTGAAAATCAGTATCACCTCAACCTCAGATGAAAATGCAGAAGTAGCCCTGAGAGATTGAGCTCAACTTCACACACAGGGAAATGAACCAAGAAATTCAGCCCTTTGTGCCAAAAGTCACAATGCAAAACAAATGCATGGTATGGCTGGCATGTGGAACCAGCTTTATTTCCTTCTGATCTGTTGTTCAGAAACCTTGGAGGCATGACTCATTTTTTAACTCTTCTATTTCCCTCCCCCCCATTAAAATAGCCACACACACCTATAACAATAGACTGTGGACACAAGACAAGCTGTTTCTTTTAGTGAGCTTCCTGGTAGTTCACATTTATTGTAAATTGTGCCTCTTGCTCAAAGGGATACCCCCATCCTCCAGGGATGGCCCCAAGCAAGCCTGACCATTGAATTCTGAGCTGGGGAAAAGGGGAACTCATCCCCAGAGACTCTTGGGTGTCCCCCAACATCAGGGAAGAAGAGAAGGGCGGGACTGGATATAAATGGTAGAGACAGAGTGGACAGTCCCCCTCCCTTGCTCTCACCATGCCAGGAAGCAATTTCACAACCTGGGCCCTCCCCTTCCTGTGCCTGGCTCAAGGTCAATGCTGAGCGGGAACCGGATGGGGGTAGGGATTGCCCCATGGTTGCACCCAGGCAGGTAGGTATAAAGCCACTTCCTCAGGCCAACGGAAGCCAGAAGGACAAGAGAAGGGTCACCATGTCCCGGAGCACAGAGCAAGACCAGAGGTAGGTCCCCACACCACACAGCTGAGCAGGCCTGGAGATACAAGGGCACTCTGTTGAATCAACTGAAGTCACAGAGGCAGGGGCAGCCATACAGGTGCTGCTGGCCCAGGGCAGCCATGCCTGAAGGGAGCAGGCAGCTCAGGAAAAACCGTAGCCCTTCCCCAGGCCCCATGCTCCAGCAGAAATGGATCCAGACGCAGGCATCCTAACCCTAAGAGGTCAAGGCTAGAGAGAAAGAATATCTCAGAGCCGGGGGAACAGAGAGCTCTGCTTGGGGAAGGCAGAGAAGCCTCTGTGATGAGGGTTGGGCATGGGAGCTGGGGTTTTGCAAGATGAGTAGGAGTTTGCAGACTCGGCCTTCCAAATATTAAGGGAGATAAGGACACAGGAAACCAGCGGGTGCAGAAGAAACTAGCAAGATGGACTGGAAGTAATGAAGAGCCCTCTTGGGCTGAGTTGGCTAGGCGGAAGGATAGTATGTCGGAATGAGGCTAAGAAATGTGGGTTTTGTAGATGTAGGAGTCTCCTTAAGATGAGGGAAAGGAAAGAAGCTGAGAAGAGGGCTGCTTTACTGGTCTCAGTGCTGGTGATGGAGATGGTAAAGGCAATGGCAAGAGTCTGGATGTGTCTTAAGTCTGCTCTGCTTGTTGCAATGAGCCCTGGTAGTATAGTGGGTTAGGTGTCCGGCTTGCTCACCCCAAGGTCAGCAGTTTGAAAGCACCAACTGCCTTTCAGGAGAAAGATGAGGCTTTCTACTCCCATGGAGAGTGACAATCTCAGGAAGCCACAGGAGCAGCTCTGCCCTGTCATACAGGGTTGCTATGAGTTGGAATAGACTCCGTATCTTGAGTTTGATTTCTTCGGAAGGGCTGGTGGTGTCGTGGGTTAAGCGTTGGATGGAGAATGGCCAGGTCGGCAGTTCAAACCCACCTGTCCCTCCAAGGGAGGGAGATGAGGCTGTACAGCCTCAGAGGCCCCACGTAGGTTGCAAATGACTCAGAACCGCCCCAAAGGCCGTGGGTCCTGTGTTCACTGTGGCTTATTAATAATCACTGCCTGCAGCCCAGGGGACCTTGTCCCCCATCTTTCCAGTGCCCTGCGTCTGATGTTGCTGCTAGCAGCTGTGACCCCGAGTCTCAAGGCCTGCTTGGTGAGACATTCCGTCAACGGCAACTCCGTTGCCTGCCATCCTCCCGCCCAACCTCCCAGCCACTTCCCTGCAGACACCCTCTACCTGGCCGTGGAGTTCTTCAACCTGACCCAGCTGCCGGCCGACACCCTCCAGAACGTCTCCCACCTGCAGGAATTGCACCTGTCCAGCAATCGGCTGGAGATGCTGGCGGCCGAGTTTCTGCTGCCCGTGCCCCAGCTGCAAGTGCTGGATTTAACCGGGAATGCCCTGGCCGGGCTGCCCCCCGGCCTCTTCCGGGCTTCCCGAGCCCTCCACACCTTGGTGCTCAAGGGGAACCGCCTGCGGGACCTGAAGGCCGAGTGGCTGAGTGGCCTGAAGGCCCTGGCGTATCTGGACTTGTCTGGAAATCGCCTCTGGACGCTGCCCCCAAGGCTGCTGGCCAACTTCACGGCCCTGCTAATCCTGGACCTCAGTGACAACCAGCTGGAGTCCTTGCCTGATGACCTGCTGCAGGGCCCGCTCCGCCTGGACCGGCTGCATTTAGAGGGCAACCGGCTGAGGACGCTGGACAAGGAGCTGCTTGCGCCCCAGCCAGGCCTGCGCTACTTGTTCATGCAAAACAACAGCCTGGCCACGGTGGCCGCTGGCGCCTTCGAGGGCCTGCGGGAGCTAGACATGTTGGATTTGTCTGACAACTCACTGAGCAGCGTGCCGGCCGGGCTCTGGGCATCCCTGGGGCAGCCAGCCCGGGCCATGAAAGAAGGCTTCGACATCTCCCGGAACCCCTGGGTCTGCGACAAGAACCTGGATGACCTCTACCACTGGCTGTTGGCCAATAATGACACAATGTTCTCTAGGAAGGAGACGCTCTGTGCTGGGCCAGAAGCCCTAAAGGGGCGCCTGCTTCTGGAAGTGGCTCGGGGACAGATGGGTAGGACACCCCACTTAGCCAAGAGCCCCATCTTCTAGGTGTTAGATGCATTCTTTCCACAGTTGCTTCAGCCCCCCGGGGACTCGGATTTCTCGAAAGATACCTTGGGCTTTCTGGTGCCCTCAACTCCATCTGGTTTTATGCTCTCTCCTATTCTCCCTCTCCGCTTCCTCCAGCTCCTGGTCTCGGCCCCCACCCCACCCCCCAGCCACCTCCTGGCCCTGCTCTGGGGGTGTCTGTTTTCTCCAGACTTGGGGGACAGGGCCCCCTGAGTGCAGGTCTTGGGGCTGCGTCCCGTCATCCCCAGCATCGCTCAGCTTGAGGCCAGATTGGAAGAGTCGAATAAAAAAACCATGCAAAAAAAATGAATGAAGCCATGATCATTGTGTTTCTAGAATCTTCCATCAGCTCCCCAGGTCTCCAGGGAGAAGGAGGGAGCAAGAGAGGAGATCTGAGCCTTGGGGTTCAGGACATGAGCTTCCCCCATTTGATGGCAACTGGGGGTCTGATGGTTCTTGTCTCCTCCTCCTCCCACCCAATCCCAGGGCTGAAACTAGAAACTCTGACCAGTGTCCAGGTGTTCTTTTACAGAGGGCTCTCTGCCAGAGCCTGTGACCCTGGGAAGGTTGAAATTAAACTAGACTGCTTCACAACTCCACAGTTTGTCCTCCCACCCAGGACAAGAGGGGACAGGTCGGCTGGGGATGAAGGACAAAGCAGGGCTGGCCATTCACACCCCAAGCCACCTGCCAATTCCATGTTGGGAATGGGGGGGGGGGGCGAGCCAGAGGTGGGGATCCTGGGATGTTGGGGAGGATTTCAGCTGGCACAGTGGTTGAGTCAGCCGCTCCTCGGGAGAAAGATGAGGCAGTCTGTCCCTGTAAAGATGTCCAGCCTCAAACACCCTACAGAACACTGCCACTCTGTCCTACGGGGTCACTGTGCGTGGGAAATGAACTGGACAGTTTGGGATATCTGGCCCTGGGCAGCAGAATAGTGGTGGCCACTCTGCAGAGGGCCAGAAGGAGGATTGTGGCCAGGTCGGTGGTCAGTCGGATGTCTCCTTCCTTGTGGGTCCTCGGACAACTCGTCTAAGCTTTCTGAGCCTCTGTTTGCTAACCTGTATATCGGGGTCCCAGGGGATGGGCTGGCCTGGCTCTTGGTTTAGCTAATTCAAAAGTCCCCCCAACCTATTGCCCTGAAGTTGAATCAGACTCCTCACTAGCCCTTGTGTGAGCAAAGGGTTTGCAATGAACGACTAACTTAATGACCGGAGAGTCAAGCCCAACAAACACATAAACCCAAACTCATTGCCATCAGTTGATACCGACTCATAGCGACCCTATAGGACAGGACAGAACTGCCTCTGTGGGTTTCTGAAGCTGTAACTCTATAGGAGAGTAGAAAGTCTTTCTCAAAAAAAACACACCAAAGCTCACTGCCATTGGGGAATTGCCCAAGGTCACTCAAGGACGTGGCAGGAGCAGAAATCGGCCTCCGTTGTCCCCACAGCCAAGACAGGGCGGGTGGCAGGTGCCAAACCTGCAGGGCACCGAAGCAGCCCGGGCCCCAGGTCTGCAGACTCCCCACGTGGCGGAGGCAACAGGCGATCAATCTAGCGTGTCCTGGGAGAGCCGGAGCCCCGCCCCGCCCTAGGGCACGCCCCCAAACACTCCTTCCCTATTGGCCAGACTCGAGAAGGGCCCCGCCCCCGAGCTCATAAAAGGTGGGTACGACGAGTGCGAGGGGCGAGACTTCCAGCGGCGAGTGGGGTCCCGCGACGCCCCGGAGCGCTGAGACTTGGCGCGCCCAGGGGAAAGGCTGCGGGGGACACCGGGCTGGTTCGTGGCGGGACCCTGGGGCTTTTGGGAAAGCATCCCGAGGGGCGGGGCGGCGGGTGGCAGCAGCAGGTGTCTGAGACCCTTGGCCCAGTTGGCCGAGGTTCAGGACCTAGTTGGGTGGAGATCAGATCAGGGCTCTCGGAGGGCGTGGGGGGCGGGGGGGGCTGAAAGGGGCGATCATGAGGGGGGCGGATGACCCTAGGCGAGGAGTGTGAAACCTGAGGTCCTGCTCCCCGCTCTGACCCTGGCCAGCTGAGTGACCTTGGATCCTGCCAGGGCTCAGTGGATGACTCGGTTTCCCTGCTTGTCAAACGGGACTGTGGGTTTCTTAGGATCCTGTAGGAAGGCTGGTGGCATCTGGCAGTTCGAAACCACCAGCCGCTCCCCTGAGAGAAAGATGGGCTTTCTACTCCCTAAAGTTACAGCCTCAGAAACCCACAGGGGCGGTTCTACCCTGTCCTCTAAGGTCCGGAACAACTTGACGATGGCAGTGGGTTGTTAATCGGCCTGTGGTTGCTGCTGTCCCAGAGCAGGGACAAAAGATGACCACACCTTCTCACCCCATTTTACTGAAAAAGAATGCAGCTCTTTTAGGGCGCTTGGCCAAAGTCACACAGCAGGTATTGCCAAATTCAAACTCAGATGGCTCCGAACCGTTAGAATGGCACAGGGCCCACCTTGCCAGGGGCTCATGGGTAGGCGCCTACCGTGTTGCCTTGGCTGAGCCCTGCCCAAGCCCTTCACTGCCCTCACACCCCATTTTACGGATGAGGAAACTGAGGCACAGAGAGGGACAAGACTCACCTGCGCCACAGCATCCACCCTGTAGACAGAGCTCAAGGTCTCGGCAGGGTCAAGGACGGCTGGCAGCAGGGACACCCCCCCCCCTCCGCCCCCACCCTCCCTCTGCCCTGCCACCCAGGGTGATCCCGTTTGTAGCAAATATGTCTGAAGAGGAAGCGGATCAGGCCCCGGGGCCCAGACTGTCGGAGCAGGAGCAGCAGGTGAGAGGCTGCACCTCCCGTGGGGCAAGGGTAACAGGGTAGGGTCGGTGGGGGACAGTCTCTCCCCTGGGGGAGGGGTGTTGGTGCACAATGGGGGGAGGGCTCTCTCCAAGAACCCTTATCTGATCTCTGCCCTCTCCCACCTCTGAGTCTCTGCCTAGATTTCTGGGCCCACCACTAAGGCAGCCTTAACAATAGCAACGGCAGTAACAGTAACAGCTTCTCTCCGGCACCAGTGACCGTCCCACGCATGTCCAGATGTCAGCCCATTGGACCCCCACCACAGTCGTGGGAAAGGAGTCCCGGTTAAACGCTCACCTGAGGGTTGAATCCAAGAGAGAGAGAGAGAGAACGTGAGAGAGAGAGAGGCCTGACAATCTGCTTCTTTAAGATAGCAGCCAGGAATAAGGGCCCTTCTACCCTGTCCTGTAGGGTCACTGCTGCCAGTGAGTGGGGACCCTCCTACGGTCATTAGGGTCCATGGAGTCGGTTCCAAGCCCGTGCACAACAGAACAAAACACCGTCCTCTCAAATTGTTCCTGTGTCTGAGCCCATGGCTGCAGCCACCGTCTCCATCCATTTCCTGGGGGGGCTTCCTCTTTCTCCCCTCTATCAAGCATGATGTCCTTCTCCAGGGACTGGCCTCTCCTGACCACACAAAGTACATAAGACAAGGTCTCGCCGTCCTGGTCTCTAAGGAGCACTCTGGCTGTACGTCTCCAGGACAGATTTGTTTGTTCTTTCGGCAGTCCTTGTACTTTCAATATTCTTCACCAGCCCGGCAGGACAAAGAGCCCTGGTGGCATTGGTTAGGCGTGGAAATGCTAACCACAAGGTCAGCAGTACGAATCTCTGAGCATGCCAAGGGTCAAAGACAGCATCACAGTCTCTGGAACCAACAGGGGCAGAAACCCACCTAATGAGGGTGGGTGTTGGAATAGACTTGATAGGGATGAGATATTTGAACGGTTTAGGGTCTATCTCACTGTGAGGCCAGCCTGCACCCAGTTAGACATACCCTATACCCTGTCCCCAACGAGTCCCCAGGAGCCCACTCCATTAGGAGGGGCAATGGATGCAGGTGTAGCAGAGCCCCCACCTCCCAGGGTCCTCACTGAGGCCGCCCCTCCCTGTAGAGCGTGGTGCAGCGCGTGGCGGCCCTGCCCCTGGTCAGGACCACCTGCACGGCTGTCTCAGAGGTCTACAGCGCGGCCAAGGACAGGCACCCCCTGCTGGGCTCCGCCTGCCGCCTGGCTGAGCACTGCGTCTGTGGTCTGACCACCCGTGCCCTGGACCGTGCCCAGCCGCTGCTCCACCATCTGCAGCCCCAGCGTGAGTCCCGCCACCGCACCCCGGCCCCCACTGCCCTGTCCTCTCTTGGTCCGTCCCATGACACACCCTTGGCTGGTTCTCCGGAGGTGACCCCTCTGTCTGCCTTTCCTACCTGCCTGTCCTTCCACCAGTCTGCCCCCACCCCATCCCAACCCCAGGCTGTACCCTATCCCCCTAGTCTGTCCTCTGTCCCCAGACTGTCCCTCTAGCTTCAGTTTGTCCCCTACCATTCATGAATCTGTCTCTGTCCTCACAGTCTGTCCCCAAATCCCCCTAACCTATACTCTGTTACCCCAGTTTGTCCTCTAATCCCATTTGTCTTCTCCTCATTCTGTCCCCTATATACTGTCTGTCCCTCTGTCCCTGCAGTCTGTCCTCTGTCCCCAAGTGTGTACCTTGTTCCCCCAATCTGTCCCCTCTTCTCCCAGTATGTCCTCAATCTCCCCAGTCTGCTCCTTAGCCCCCAAATCTGCCCCCTACCCCCCCAGTCTGTTCACTATCCTGCAATCTGTCCCCAATTCTCCCAGTCTGCCCCTTATCCCCCCAGTGTGTGCTCTATCCCCCCAGTCTGTCCTTTATCCCCCAATCTACCCCTTACCCCCCCAATGTGTGCTCTATCTCCCAAATCTGTCCTCTATTCCCCCAGTCTGTGCCCTATCCCCCAGTCTGCCCCTTGTCTCCCCAGTCTGCCCCAAATCCCCCCAATGTGTGCTCTATCTCCCCAGACTGTCCTCTATCTGCTCAGCCTGGTCCCTGTTCACCATCTGTCCTTCTGTGCCCTGTCTGCTCAGCCTGGCCCCTGTTCCTACAGCCTGATTGCCATCTTGTCCCTGTGTGACCACTGGCCATCCCTCTTCCTTACCTGTGCACACAGCCTGCTCCCTGCCCTGCTCCACGGACCTGTCCATAGACCCACCTCCCTCAACTGGCTTCCCGTGCGGCCCCTAGGTCTCCCGGGCCCACTATAGGACTTCAGCCTGGCAGGGTGGGCAGCCGGGCACAGAGACCAGGGGAGGGGTTACCTATGAGGAGCCCCATCCCAGGGCCCCCACCCACCCACCTCGGCAGCAACTGCTGTGACCTGGAGCCTGCCTGCTGGACCGGCTGTGCTGGGTGGGCGAGGGGGCACTTTGGTGTGGGGAGGAGGGAGGGAAGATGGAGGGGGTGGGGCCCACGCCCTCAGGTCCCCAGCCCTCCTGGGGCATCTCTCACCTGCAGAGGACCCCCAAATCCCTCCTGTCTGTGTCTCTCCCTCTTGTCTTCCTTCACGGCGACAGGATGGCCAAGTCAGGCCCTCCCTTAGGTCTGTCTGCCTCTTTCTCCCTGTCTCTCTGCCCTCTGTCCCCCTCTCTGGGTCTCTCTCCACCCCCCTGCCTCATTCTCTCTGTCTCTCCCTGTCCCTGTCCCTGTCCCTCTCTCTCCACGGGTCCCCGCCCCCTCACCCTGCCCCTCCCTCTGCAGTGGCCACCGTGAATGACCTTGCCTGCCGGGGACTGGACAAGCTGGAAGAGAAGCTGCCATTTCTTCAGCAGCCCTCAGAGACGGTACTGATGGCAGCCCAGCTGAGGGACCCAGGGCTGGGCCAGTGGGTTAGACCAGGAGGACTAGAGAAACAAATTCATGGACATTCACATGTGTATAAGAAAGAGCTTTACATACAAGAGCAATTGTACATTGAGAAAACATCCCAGCCCAGTCCAGATCAAGTCCCTAATTCCCATATTAGCTCAACTGTCCAATGCCAATCTATAAAGTCCTGTTCAGACTCACAAAACACATGAGATGACACCAAATGCAGGAAGATCACAGGCCAGTAGGTGGGAAGTCTTGTGGATCCAGTGGCGGTGGAAGCATCTCAGCGCTGGAGTGGGTCTCCACGTGGCTCCTCCAGCTCAGGGCAAAGGCTACCATCAGCCTTTCTCCATGTGGTTTGTCAACTCCGATGTCTCACAGGGACTGATCAGAGAGAGAGAGAGAGAAAGAGACTTCTGTCTCCAAAGAGGAAAATATAGGAGGTGCCAGAATCCTCAGGGGAAGGCCATGCCCATTGGCTATGACCTGATTGACAGGCTAGACTCCACCCCTTCCCTCTGAATCCTCAGATTGGCACCAGCTTATGTAACTACCACAGCCAGCAAGGAGGTGGAGGTGGTGGAGAAGGAGGAGAGGGTGGGGGTGGGGATGGAGGTGGGGATGGAGGTGGAGGTGGGGTGGGGGTGGGGGTTAACCATTCACTCCACAGCCTCCTTCAATTCCTGACTCTTTTTCATCAGAGGGGGCTCGTGCTATAGAAGGGACACTAAGAGGAAGGGGCACAAGGACAGGGGCAGGGGGCAGGAGACTTGCAGAGCCCAGCTTAAGGGACCCTCCCTCCAGGTGGTGACCTCAGCCAAGGGTGCAGTGGCCAGTGGCATGACGGGGATGGCACAGCGAAGCCGCCGCTGGAGCGTGGAGCTGAAGCGCTCCGTGAGCCACGCCATGGACGTGGTGCTGGGCAAGTCGGAGGACCTGGTGGACCACTTCCTGCCCATGACGGAGGACGAGCTCGGTGAGGTCCCCTGCCAGAGATCCAAGAGGCCCAGGACTCACCCAGGGCCACATAGCACGCCAGCAGGAGATAGGCACTAAAGCCCAGGCCCTGGCTCCCCATCTACTTCCAGACCAGAACATGCCGGCTTATTCCCTGGGGGCTCAGTAGAGCAGCAGCGAGGCCTCAAACCATGCACCTGGCCCAGTTTCCGGGAGGCGACCCCTGCATGTCAGAGTTGAGCTGTGTGCTTGTTTGGTGGCTGGTTTTCTAGAAGTGGGTTGCCAGGCCTTTCTTCCGAGGTGCCTCTGGGCAGGCCCAAACCTGCAGGCTTGGCGAGCTGTGAGCAGGCCGACCGATCACCTGTACCGCCCGGGGCGCCAGCGCATTGGGCCCTCTGGCTGGGCCCTCCTCACAGCCACTGCTGTCTTTCAGCCCGTGGGTACGGCCCCCAAGTCAGCCCACCTTCTGGTGGGCCTCCCCGTTCTGAGGAGTGCAGTTGGCCTCAGACTCAGCATGATTCAGCTCTCTCCCTCTGCCTCAGTTTCCCTCATCTCTAAGATGGGCCTCCGACGGGTGCCCACGTCATACAGTGGGGAGGGGCAAGAGAGGAGTTGGTATCTGTGAGAATGAAAATGGTCAACTTGGGAGCTCACGGGCTGGTCCATCCTAGAGGTAGATGTGCCACGCTGACCCCCCTCCCCGGTGGCCCAACCTCACCCGCAGCGGCGCTGGCAGCCGAGGCCGAGAGCCCAGAAGTGGCCTCCGTAGAGGAGCAGAGGCGACATCAAGGTTACTTTGTGCGTCTGGGGTCCCTGTCGGCACGAATCCGCCACCTAGCCTACGAGCATTCTCTGGGGAAACTGAGGCAGAACAAACACCGCGCCCAGGACACGCTGGCCGAGCTGCAGCAGACCCTGGAGCTGGTGAGAGCCCCCTCCCGCCCCACGGTGCAGGCCAAGGAGCCATCAGCCTGCGTGGAGCACCAGCGGAGTGTGCAGTCAAGGCTGGGGGGAGCCCAGGCGGTCAAGGCTGTATCTGGGGGCTCGCAGCTGGGCTTCTAGGAGGACGGGATGACCCATCAGCCACTTCCATGGAATCCATTCCGTCTCACAGCCACCCCTGCAGGACAGCATCGAACTGGCCCTGCGGGTTTCCGAGGCTGTAACTCTTCAGGGAAGCAGCCAGCCCCCTCTGTGTCCCTAGGTCCTAAGAGCAGCTGGTGGGTTTGAACTGCTGCCCTTGCAGCGGACAGACCAACACCAAACCCACAGCGCTCTCAGGACTAGGATTTATTGGTGGTTAAAGGGAATGACAAGAAGGCCCCTCTGCCTTCAGCCTCCCCATCCTCCAGGCCCCAGCCCCCGCCTTCTCCATCTGTCCCACCCACCTGCCCACCTGGAAAGCCCTCGGTCAGGGACCTCTCCACTTCCCTTCTTCCCTGCCCCTCCCATGGCCCACGTCAGTAATACTGTCCACTCCGCTCCCAGGTTTTACCCCGAATCCACCTCCGACTCCCTCCTCTCCCCCCTCCCCATTCCAGCCCACCATCTTCACCCGGACCAGTGCTGTCCGCTGCCCTGCTCCGGGACGCCTGGTCCCCTCCTTCTGTTCTCGTGGCCTATGAAGGGTGCCCGTGAGCACCTGAGGGGGCCTCCTCGGCTCACAGTGTTCAAGGCCCCCACCTTCCTCAGATCGAAACCAAGAGTCCTCCCTGTGACCCACAGGGTCCTACACACCCCGCCCTGCCCTCTTCCGCCTCATCCTCCCTCCCCCTCTCCCTCTGGTCCAGCCACATGGGCCTCCTCCCTGTTCCTCCAACTTGCCAAGCCCGGTCCTGCCCCAGGGCCTCAGCCTGCAATACGTTATTTTCCTCCTCTTCTCCATTTCCTCATGCACTGCAGCCACCCCCACCCCCCCACCGACTGGTAGGACCCTGCCTCACTCAGTCATTGAACAGCATGCATTAAGTCCCGCGGACCACGCCCTGCTCCCCCACCCCACTTCCTGCCACAGCACACAGTCCGAGCTCAATACATGCGCATTCAGGGACCTGGCTCCTACACCACACACACACCACATCTGTGTGTTCACAGTGCCCGTCTTTCACAGAAGGGGAAACTGAGGCCAGGGTGATTCCGACACCTTCCATTCAGACTCATTTCTCCTGATGGGGGGTAGGCCCTGAGCATGGTGGAGACACCAGGTACTTCCGGGAGACAGGGGGAAAGGAAGGAAAGGAAGAATTCCTGGAAGAGGTGGAGCTGGGGTGGAGTTGACTTGGAGTGACCCGGCAGGGGGTGGAGGTGGAGCATGTGCCCAGCAGAGGGACCCCCCAACCCCGCAAAGCACAAAGCCCAGGCGTGAGACTGAGTTTTGGGGACCCACGGGCTGTGAAGGGCTGCAGAAAGGAGACACCCGCTGAACGCCAGGCCCAGGGAGTCTCTGTCATCACTCTCGGTCCTTACAGCTGACCCTGTCCTGTCCCTCAGATCCACTCCATGCAGGGTGGGGCCACCCCTGCCATCCCTGCCCAGCCTAGAAAAGTGCACCAGCTGTGGGGAGACTGGAACCACTGTACCCCTAAGAACGGCTGTTACCAGAGTCAGGTAAATGCCCTGCCAACACTCCTTTCCTGGGTCAACGTGGGAAACCGAGATGACAGCCTCATTGGGGAAACTGAGGCAGGGCTGGGGTCCTGTTGGGTGCATGTCCCCGGGGATACATGAGGCACACGATGATGTGGTTGGTTGTCTTTGGGGAAACTGAGGCAGGGCTCCGTTTCACCCCCCTCCCACCTCCCCAGCAGGCTGAGCTGGAGACCCTGTCCCTGTCACGCCACCTGACCTGGGAGCTGCAGGGGACGGTGGAGGCCCTGCAGACCAGCGTGCGGGGCCTGCCCCCCAGCGCCCAGGAGAAGGTGGCCGAGGTGCGGCGCAGCGTGGACGCCTTGCAGGCTGCCTTCGCCGACGCCCGCTGCTTCGGGGACGTGCCCGCGGCCGCGCTGGCAGAGGGCCGGGGCCAAGTGGCGCGGGCTCACGCCTGCGTGGACGAGCTGCTGGAGCTGGTGCTGCAGGCCGTGCCGCTGCCCTGGCTGGTGGGGCCTTTTGCGCCCGTCCTGGTGGAGCGGTCCGAGCCCCTGCCCGACCTGGAGGACCTCGTGGACGAGGTGGTCGGGGGCGTGGACCCCCGCTGGGCACATCTGGATTGGCCGGCCCAGCAGAGAGCCTGGCAGGCCCAGCACGCCGACGGCGACGGCGTGGAGCCCCCGGGGGCCGTCCTCGCGGAGAAGCCCGAGCCTTCCAGCCCTGCAAGCCAGCACACGCTCATGCCGGAGCTGGACTTCTGACCGCCCAGGGGGATGGACAGAGCCCGAGGCGGTGCGCCTGACGCCAGGGCCGCGCCGGGCAGCGCCGCCGGGCGCTCTGCTGCCCCGCGTGGCCGCCCACAGCATTAGCGGCCTGGACCTTGTCCGG